GGGTCCTGCAAGATCAAGATCCGAAGATGACTTGTTAGATCACAACGATGAAGACGACGACGATGCCGATAAAACCCAAAAGAAGAAGAGAAAGAAGTATCACCGTCACACGGCGGACCAAATCAGAGAAATGGAAGCGTAAATATCCCATTTCATTTCTTTATTTCGCTTTTTTTTTTTTAATGCAATTTACGTCTCACAACTTGAATGCAATGATATTTAATAAATTTGAAATACAGCTTGCAATCAATATTAAGTTACTTTGGGTAATTTCAATTCAAAATTCGTCAAACTGTTTTAATTGCAGTAAAATTTGTTTATATGCCAAACTCTCATATAAGTACATACACTACCATGCATGGAGCAGTTAATTGGGAAATATTTTTAACACTAAAAAAGTTATTGATATGCTTACAGAAGAAAACAAGATTATAAAGTTAAAGATGACCCAAAATTTTATGGCGACTTTAGTTACCTTTTCTAGCTTTGTTTTTAATTGAAAGACATGCACCAAAAGCCATATTCTTTGTTTTCTTGTTTTTCTTTTTCTTTTATCATGGCTGAAAACTGTTTCTCTTGTTCTGTAATTGCTTGACATTAATTGCTATCCTTGTATGATCAAAGTTGATGATGGGATTTTTTGTTTTTCTGTCTGTAACAAATTAAAGAAAATGTTGTTGCTTTGTATGAAGATGAAATACGTATAATAAACCTTTTCAGGCTGTTTAAGGAATCACCCCATCCAGATGAGAAACAAAGGCAGCAATTGAGTAAACAATTAGGCCTTGCTCCAAGGCAAGTCAAGTTCTGGTTTCAAAATCGTCGAACACAAATTAAAGTAATCCCAGTTATTCTCTTTTCAAGTTCTCATTTCTTAATTTTGGTTTAAATCAGAGTATTTGCATTTTGTGAATCATCTTTGCTGGTGGTAACGGAGTAGCCAATTTGCAGGCTATACAAGAGCGCCATGAAAATTCATTGTTGAAGCAAGAGATGGAGAAGCTCAGGGAGGAAAACAAATCCATGAGGGAGACTATAAACAAAGCTTGTTGCATCAACTGTGGCTTGGCTACCACTGCCAAAGACGGCTCCATTACAGCTGAAGAACAACAACTACGTATCGAGAATGCTAAGCTCAAAGCCGAGGTCAAGAGACCTATCAATAAAAAATTCTCTTTTTTTGTCCCTTGAAAAATCTTTATTAATGTTCATATATAGTCAACTTCAAAACAATTGCAGGTAGAAAAGCTAAGAAGAGTAATAGGAAAATACCCTTTAGGTGCATCAACGACCGGTTCATGTTCAGCTGAAAATGACCAAGAAAACAGGAGCTCATTGGATTTTTACACTGGGATTTTCGGGCTCGAGAAGTCAAGAATCATGGAGATTGTAAACCAAGCCATGGAAGAGTTGCAGAAGATGGCTACCGCAGGTGAACCGCTGTGGGTTCGAAGCGTCGAGACGGACCGGGAGATTCTTAACTACGATGAGTATGTCAAAGTGTTCTCCGTTGACAATTTAAGCAATGAGAGGCCAAAAAGATCAATTGAGGCCTCTAGAGAGACCGGGGTTGTTTTTGTTGATCTCCCAAGGCTGGTTCAAAGCTTCATGGATGCCGTAAGAAATAAATATTCATGTGTAGAAGCCATTTCCATAGTTGACAGTATCTTTGAATTTTTGTTTTATTTCTATCCGTGTCAATAGAATCAATGGAAGGAAATGTTCCCATGCATAATCTCTAAGGCGGCTACTGTTGATGTGATTTGCCATGGCGAAGCTCCAAATAAAAATGGTGCTGTGCAGTTGGTAAGTTCCCTTTGACCGCAGTTCATGTGTTATTGTCTCTTTTATGTATTATTTTATAATTTTTTGGGCAATCTTACGAACTGCTTTTCAAGGTAACGTGGAGTGGACTAGCTGTTATTTAACATTGAAATGTTAACCTTCATAAAATTGGGCAATAATCTTTTTGTTTAATGCATATAACCAGGAGCTGAAAATATAATGTCTATTGATAAATTTCTGTGTATATTTTTAATATTGTTGTTTAATAAAAATATTTTTTGGTAAATGTTCAATCAAAATATTAATGCCTAATACTTATCAGTTTATTATATAATAATATTTATTTACTATATTAAATAAACAAAACTATAGAGAAGAGATTATTCTTCAAAGTAAAGCTATCTTGACATATACGTTTTCCTTCTTTTTTAGTCTCGTGGTCCACGTGAAAAGTCTAAGCCTTTTTTCTTTTCTCTTTCATGTCTCTAACCTAAGAAACTCAGCGGAAGGTCAAAGCCATTTTACACCGACCCTTCTCGTAATTAGCTATTTGTCTCGGTAATTATATAGTCCAAAAAATTATTTATAATTTAGTCATTTGCTTAATTATAAATTCTGAATTTAATTCAATTTATTAATCGAATTATTATGCTTAAAGATTATATAATTAATAAATTTGAAATTCAAATTATACTGGAATCTTCATTGTAAACAAAAATCATAATTTTCTTAATTAAGTTTTAGACATTGTATTAATGGTTTGGTACTCTGAATTAAGCAGATGTTTGCTGAGCTGCAAATGCTAACACCCTTGGTACCCACCAGAGAAGTTTACTTTGTGCGGTATTGCAAGCAACTGAGTGCTGAAGAATGGGCAGTGGTCGATGTTTCTATTGACAAAGTTGAAGAAAATATCGATGCATCCTTAGTAAAATGCAGAAAGCGTCCATCAGGTTGCATCATCCAAGATAAATCCAATGGCCATTGCAAGGTGTGTGCATATATATATCTTTTAAGGGAAATTGACGGTTTTGCCTGACAGTTCATAACCTTATGTCTTGTTAAAACCATATGAATTGATATAATTTGATATTGATAACAAGCTTAAGAATATCATTTTTGACTAAATTTCAGGTGATTTGGGTGGAACACCTTGAGTGCCAGAAAAGTACTGTTCATACATTGTACCGTACCATTTTTAGCGGTGGCTTGGCCTTTGGTGCAAGGCATTGGATGGCAACATTGCAACATCAGTGTGAAAGGCTCGTTTTCTTCATGGCAACCAATGTTCCTACCAAGGACTCAACTGGTGAGCTTAAAAGCTGTCCATTTTGTTAAACGACATGTATGTTATTTTTTTGGTCAGCAAAGAAAATTTCTGACTAATGTTTGTTATTAAAATTTTAGGTGTTGCGACACTGGCTGGGAGGAAGAGCATTTTGAAATTGGCCCAGAGAATGACATGGAGCTTCTGTCATGCAATTGGTGCTTCGAGCTATCATACCTGGAATAAAGTCACCAGGAAAACAGGGGAAGACATTAGAGTTTCTTCCAGGAAAAACTTAAATGATCCTGGAGAACCTCTTGGGGTCATCGTCTGTGCTGTTTCTTCCGTTTGGTTGCCTGTCTCTCCGACTATTTTATTTGATTTCTTGAGAGATGAATCTCGTCGCAATGAGGTACTTACATCAATTAGAATCATAAAAAATGTATTGTTTTGAATACTCGTTTTCCTCTGCAAACTTTAGTGGGATATCATGTCAACCGGAGGTCCAGTGCAGTCCATCGCAAACTTGGCCAAAGGGAAAGATCGTGGCAATGCAGTAACAATTCAAGTACGTTCTTTAGGCATTGTTTTCCCCTCTGAATCATATATAGCATTTTAAGTTGCATCGTACTTTGTGTTCAGACAATGAAGTCAAAAGAGAACAGCATGTGGGTGCTCCAAGATAGCTGCACAAATGCTTTTGAATCCATGGTGGTCTTTGCTCCTGTGGACATAACTGGTATACAGTCAGTGATCACAGGATGCGACTCCAGCAACATGGCCATACTACCTTCAGGGTTCTCGATTCTTCCAGACGGGCTCGAGTCAAGGCCATTAGTGATCACTTCTAGGCACAAGAAGAGCAATGATACGGAAGGAGGATCCTTGCTTACAATAGCTTTCCAAATCCTAACAAACAGCTCCCAAACTGCTAAATTAACCATGGAATCAGTGGAATCTGTCAACACAATAATATCTTGCACATTGCGTAATATTAAGACAAGCTTGCAATGTGAAGATGGTTGATCAAACTACCTGTCTTGATTAGGTAGACATTAACTGTAAAATTCATAGTTATTTTTTCCTTTTCACCCCCACAACTTAGAGGTTTAAGCAGATAACCTATTTTTGTTATGTGGGTTTGTTTCTATTCCTTCTTTGGTTATGCACAGATGGTTTGGACTTCAGGCATATTTATGGAGGGGCAAGTGGATTGACAGAGTTGGATTTCAAAATTATTTTAGATCTAAGAGAGTGAAATATTCCTGATGTATATAATTACTGTTCATTTATGCAATATTGTGGTTTTCATGATTGCTTTACTAACTTCTGAGCCCTGAAATGTGTTGAATTATCCACTTGTTTTTCAAGGGATTTGGGGTTTTACACTGCTAAAATTGTCCAACCAAATAACATCTCACAGATTGCAAGAGACGCTGCAGTTACAAAGCAATACGCATTACTTGGGACTCAATGCCAACAAACAACAACTGTGACCTTTGAACCATCATGGAGATGCTTACAGTAAGGTTTATCAGGACTACATTTTTTGTATGATCACTCAGAAAGTTAGGCATTTTCAGTTTTCATCATCGATATGAGATAGTATTGTTAGATAAGTCGGGTCGGGTTGGTTTCAGCCAAATGGTAACTGTCGAATATCCCCCCCTCCTATTAATAAATTGTCAAACATGAAGTATCTTTGCATTGCTGCTTAAGTTCTCGGACCAAAACAAGAACAGAACAACACCATTGCAGCTTAGTTTGATGATCTTTGTAATCCAAGTAAATCAATTATAAAATGATTCATCTTAAAGCCACACACATTATAGTACTAGTACTACCGTAAATTATGTTCTTTACAATTTGATCCTTTCTTCAATAGCCTCTCAATCCAGGTTTTGTCACCAAAACATCAACTTATTCACTAATTAGAAAAGAAACCCAATTCAAATAAATCAATCAAGATTAGAGCAGAGAAAAGAGGTCATGGCAAACTCAAAAAGCAACCCACATCCTTGAAAAACAACAATTATTACATTAAGAAAAGAAGTAGTTTTTGAAACAGTGAAAACACTTGCAAAAGATTACAAGTTTACTCAACACAAAAGGAGCACACGCCGAAGGGTTTAACACTAAGCCTGCTGCTCTTGAGGCTGTTGAGATTCCAATGGAATCCCAAGCTCCCCTTTTTCCTCCTTCTCCTGCTTCCCATTCCTGCTTGGTACAGGCACCGCAATGAAAGTCTTGGTCTTGCTAATGGGCCTGCTCTTTTCAAGCTGCACATAGTCACCAACTTTGAATTGGTTATCTGGGTCATGAGCCTGGAACTTCTTCTTCTTCCTAACACGCCTCTTGTATTTTGGATGAGGGGCTAAACGCACCACTTCCACTGACACTGTCTTGTCGTTTGTAGCACAAACGACCCTACCTTGCAATGATTTCATTGCCCTGATTGGAGGGAGAAAAGCAGGGGATTTGAGGGGATGCTGAGTGACAGAAGAATCGGGTTTTGAGAGATGAGAGAGGGAAGTTGAGCCATGTAGAAATGGGGATGAAAGCTTGAGAGAATGGAGAGAAGAAGTTATCCACATTTTGGGGTGTAGTCTTCGGAGATGGAGAAGCAGCAGTGGATAAGGACTTGCGAGTTGTTTTATTCTTGTGCGTTATGGATTAGACATATGGGTTGGGTTTAGGAGTTGAATGTTTCATGGGCCTGCTTATTACGACCAATCCTAAGCCTGGTCCAGTTCTAGGTTGATTTAATCATAAAAAATATTATTTTTATTTTATTTTTTGAATCATTACTAATTTTGAAAAGGTAAATGTACTACATAATGATTGAATTTTTTATATTTGGTTCGATTATTATGCTTGTAAAAAGTTTTTTTTTAAATTTTTTTTGGTCAAATCACCATATTGATTATCCAAATAATTTTATTAGCTAAAATTGTGAATGTTCATCAATGGATACTACTAAGTGCTAGTGAGTGATGAAAATTCGCTAGAGATATTAAGAATGATTATAAGTTTTAATATAATTAATGCTAATAGTTAATAACTAAAAAACAAAACAAAATTAATAATCTTATAATATAAATATAAAAATATTCAATTGAATATTATGGAAATAAAAATCTTCTAAAATAGAATGAGTATGACAGTGCTTATCAATCTAATTTGTTATTGGATTTTTGAGGCGATGAACATGGCCCAGTAGTTTTTTTAGGATCATAAAACGGATAGGCTTATCTAAGTTTGGTCCACGTGCCACGATCTAAATGTAACTTCATATCTCATTCTGAAAAGCCCAATATGCCACGTGTCCAGCTGAAATCAACTGCAAAGATCAAAAACCCGAACAGCCCACTGCCAACTAACTCAATCTGTATGAAAGAAAGCAGTTAGGAAGAAGCAAAAACCAAGGCAATGGCTTCTCTTGCAACCTTAGCTGCTGTTCAACCAACGACCGTCAAGGGCCTTGGAGGCAGTTCTCTCAATGGAACCAAGCTCTTGGTCAAGCCAGCTCGCCAGAGTTTCAAACCCAAAAACTACAGGTGCCACCAAGCTTAATTTCTTACCTGCAGATCAATACTATTTAATTTCAACATATTTATATGGATAAAAAAATGTCTTTATTTTTCTTATGTGATAGGGCCGGTTCTGTGGTAGCAAAGTATGGTGATAAGAGTGTGTACTTTGATTTGGAGGATATTGGCAACACAACTGGGCAATGGGACTTGTACGGGTCTGATGCACCTTCACCATACAACCCACTCCAGGTTTCACCCTTGTTCCTCAGTTTCATCGATTTGATATTCGAGAAAGATTTGCAGAGTACTTTTACACAGACCATTCTGTAAAATTTGGTTTCTTTCTTGCTATTTGTTTATTGATATGTTAATTTCCTTCTTTTTTTGAGTGAAACATGGTTTCTTAAGCTAAAAATATTGAATGCAATGGTTAGGACAGTTAGGTTTGGAACTGAATTATGATGTTGAATAAAATCTAATGCCCCGAGGTAATTATTTGTTTGCATTAACTAATACAAGTGTGCATGAATGTTTGGAATTGCAGAGCAAGTTCTTTGAGACATTTGCAGCTCCATTTACCAAGAGAGGATTGTTGCTCAAGTTCCTCATCTTGGGAGGCGGCACCCTTGGTCTTTTCCTCAGTGCCACTGCTTCCGATGACCTTCTACCGATCAAGAAAGGTCCACAACTTCCACCAAAGCCCGGGCCCCGTGGCAAGATCTAATTTACCGCAACTTTTTTTAAGCTTTTCATTGTATGTACCTTGTTTTAGTTTTCAAACATGTAATCCTAAAATGCTACCTTCGTTATCGATCCAATGACATTTGTTTCACGCTTTACTGGTGCATTGCTTTCCGTTTTGAAATATCTGGTCTTTGACATTGATCCCTTCCCTTTCTGAGTACAAATCACAACTGCTGCTGAAGAACTAATAATCTGTCCATTGCCGTTGCATTTAACAAATGCCTAATTTTCTGGAAATATATCAGAAAGCAGATCTATTAACTGAGTGATAAACTGTTTAAAAATCAGGGAAATGTTGCCGAAATTTACAATTTCACAAACAAATAGAATAAATTACTATTAAGAAACATGAATTCCTTCTGTGGATATGAAACAAGAAACCCTTTTCCTGGTTTCTACAGGTATTAATATATGGAATGACTTTAATGTCCATAGTTTTAGTTTACTTCGCTATTTACAAAAGGAAGTTATAGATATACAGAAAGAAACAAGCAGCCTACTTTAATCCCATCTAGGTCGAAACACCTATGGTTGTAAGTCAGGCTTTCTCACACTTTATATTCATGTATCTATAACACTCTAGCTCTCTATATCTCTATCTGCTTCCGATTTTCATTGACGCGCTGTAGGGCTTCGTACTCCACCCAAGCTCTCAACATAGGAGACCTTGTTCGTCCCTATGTTTAGTTTTTGCAAGTTTCCATCGACATCTTTGGTTATCTCATCTGTTTCTGCCCTTTCATCAGAGTCGTTCTGATCTAAACTCCAAGTAAGTCTGAGAGGGTCTTTGCACTCATTGCAGATGTATCAAAGCTTGGACTTGTAGTCACTGAAGTAGTCTGGCTTTCGTCCTTTAAACTGCTCCATTTGCATGGTTGTGTATTTGGATTTCGGGTCATGTTGTCGAGCTGGCTGCCCATTGTGATATCTTGGTTGTTGCTTGTCCACTGACTAAAGAGACCCACCACATTGTCAACAGGGATGTCATTAATGCATTGGGTCCAAAGGATGGGTCCAAAGAGGCCCCCATGTCGATGAAACCGAGCTGGTTTCTGCATTAGTTGAACACCAATTAGGGGTGACGATTTTGAAAACGAACCCTACGTACCAGAAGAACTTTTTGGGCTCGATAATGTGGTGCTCTTACCTCATGTGGGAAGCGGTACGGTGGAAACCCGGGAAGCTATGGCTGATCTTGTGATTGGGAATTTGGAGGCACACTTTCAGAAGAAACCACTGTTAACTCCTGTGGTTTAATGGTGCTAATGCTAGTTGATTGCCAACTTCAGATTGCAGCTCTCATTTGTATTTTCATGATTTTATGGACATTGAATGGTAGAGATTATATGTTGATGATTGTAAAACCCTTCATCCTATGGGGTAAATGTTGGTTGGTTGGTTGCAAGTTGAAACCGGAATAAAAAATTAGGCATCCTTTGTTGATCCATTATTAAAATTGAACGAATTAAGTATTTACTGATCGCATATATTTTCCTTTTTATGATTAGATTAAACTTGTTCAAGGATGGGTGGATAAGTTCATTTTATCCGAGTAAGGCTCGATAAATAATGAGATTAAATGTGTAATTATGCAAATTTACTTGGATTGACATAATAGCAATTCCATTAACACTTAATAGTAAGCGATTTTGATTGAAATCGAATTGAAAATTTAGTGATTTAATTGATACTTTTTCTAATTTAATGGTTAAAATAGAATAGATTCAATAGTTGAGTTGCCTTCGAGTAGTTTAACCTAAGTTTAAAAACAGTGTTGACCATCACCAAGATGTAAAATGCATTGCATTCATCCAAATTACTCAAATATGGACTAATTTAATTCATTTAATAAAAGAACCAAACAATCTCAGTTCATTTTTGACTGACAAAAAGGTTGACACTGGCAAACCACTCCTCAAATTTAGCTTCAGTTCCCCTTAATACGCGCTATCAGCCTATCTTTAAAAGCTTGTTTCTCATTAACAAAACTACCCCACGAAAAAAAAACCCCAAAAACATCGCTTCCGCCGCAGATCTGATCCAAAACTTTCACATTTCTTCACCTCCATTGCAAAATCCTTGAAGAAAAACAAAACCTTCTAACAAGTTCACCATGCTTTACTGCCAAAGACCCACTTCCAAATTCCTTCTTCTCACCTTTGTCCTACTACTCTCTTCTTCCATAAACGTCAATGCCTCTGATCCCACCAGCTCTGAAGCGGATTCCGATGAACTTGAACAGCTTTTAGCCCTGGATGAACAAGAAGATCACCTACACCATGACCAAGAGTCTATCAGTAGATTTTCAGAAGCTGAGGTGTTAAGTAAAGCACAAAGGATAGTTCTTGAACTCAACAGTGATATTTCCAAGAGGGTCATTGATGAGAACGAGTTTGTTTTGCTTTTGGGGTATGCTCCTTGGTGTGTGAGGAGTGCTGAACTTATGCCCCAGTTCGCTGAAGCTGCTACTTCTTTGAAGGAATTGGGAAGTCCAATTGTGATGGCCAAGCTTGATGCTGAAAGATACCCCAAGGTGGCTTCTTTGCTTGATATTAAAGGATTTCCTACGCTGCTTTTATTTGTTAATGGCACTCCTCAAACTTATACTGGTGGATTTTCAGCGTAAGTTGCTCTTTTCTTCTATGTTGAGTTGTAAATTAATTTAGAGAGAACTCACATGATAGAAAATTGTGCTTAATGTAATGTCCGGTTGATTTCTGATTTCAGGGAAGAAATAGTGATATGGGCTAGGAAGAAGACCGGTGTGCCTGTCATTAGAATAAGCACAGTGAACGAGGCAGAATATTTTCTTAAGAAGTACCATATGTTTGTGATTGGCCATTTTGAGAAATTTGGGGTATGTTTACTTGAATCGTTTTACATATCATGTCTAAACATGGTTATAAGTTTTATGGTAAATCTTGATTTTGGGTTATAAATTTCAATTATTGCCCAAGTTCTACACCTTAATGATGCAACTGTGTTCTTTAATCCTATGTTTGTAATTGGTCTTTTTGAGAAAGTTGTTATTTAAATCTTCATGTTTCTAGACTATTCTGTATCGCGGTCTTCGGTAATATTGAGCTTACTATCTAAACTATTGATATTATAGGTTGAGTCTTCTCAAATTAGTCTGCAAATTCATAAATCACAGTTTAGAATATGTTGATAGCATGTAGGCACAAATTTTATAGCAAGTAAGTCATCATTCAGGTTCATCATGTTTGAGTGGCAACTCTCTAGGCTCTTCTTTACTATCATCTTCTTTAGTCCATTCTGTTATGTGGTATCAAAGTCTTTTTTGATGTGGAAAATAAGAGCTTGCAAGCAGTCATTTAGATGAATTATTCCAAAACACTTGCTTCCCAGAAAACCTGGTTTCAATTATGTTTTCAGATGATGACTACATTTACAAACACCCTCTTTTTGCTAAATCGCTTTGATGTCAAGTGGGACTGCAATTCTAGACTTCTGAATCTTTAAAATTCATATTGTTTATCCTTTGTTTTGATATACCTTCTACTCCACCACCACCATCTTATAAGGTGCATGGCTAATATTTAACATTGTCTTCTAGTGTCTCGAATTTTCTGATGCACTTGCAGAATTTTATTATCATGTTTTTTTTTTCTTCAGGGATCTGATTATGAGGCATTTGTAAAGGCAGCAATGTCTGACAATGAAATCCAGTTTGCTGAAACAAACAACATTGAGGTTGCAAAAGTTCTCTACCCTGATATAAAAGCTACTAATTTCCTTGGGATTGTTAAAAGTGAACCGGAAAGATACACTGCTTATGGTGAGTTCATAATCTGGAAAACTGCTTTTTGTGAATGATTTTTTAGTTATTTGCTGAGGTCATAATCAGTGACTGTCAGAAGTAAGATCACATGAGACTGCTAAATAAACTTATCGTCTAATGACTTTCTCTGTTCTTGCCTTCTTTTTTATTTTATTTTTTGCTTGACTACATTTATAACGGTCAACCAGAATCATTGACGAGACTAATAACTCATCTGTCTGGTTTTACAGGAGGTACCTTTGAGATGGATAACATTTTGCAGTTTCTGGACTACAACAAGTTTCCGTTGGTTACTAAATTGACTGAACTAAATTCCGTCAGAGTTTACTCCAGTCCTGTCAAGCTTCAGGTTTCCATGCTTTTCGTCATTACCTTTGATTGTTTACTATGATCATGGTTTCCATTTTCTTTTCCTTTCTGTATATAACTATTTCATATTTCTTTTTCCAATACCAACTTACTGAAAGCACTGGTATTATAGCAGTGAAGATATTGGTTGCATATGGGAGTTGTATGTAATTTCTTAGGTTTTGCATAGTGATCGAAAATCTCTGGTGTATATGTAAATTTTTGTTTACAATTTGGTTAGTGTTACTACATCATTTACCCTGATGAGGTTATTTGGGTGTAACTGGAACAATGTCTGTCATTGAATTTTAGTTAACTAGTAAATATTCTACCAACACTAATGTGCTGAGAATCTAATTAAAATGAAACAATAATACAGAAGTCAGTGTGGGTCAACTTTCTGATATGTACCTTTTTTTTTTCATATGTGGTTGTGTATATTTTGGCTTCCATACAGTTGCATAAAGTTTTCACCATCTTGGAAACTAAAGTAGTATCGTGAATTTACCGTTTTTATCTATCAGGTTTATGTCTTTGCAAAAGCAGATGATTTCAAGACTCTTCTTGAGCCTCTTCAAGAAGTTGCAAGAAAGTTCATAACAAAGGTATTTAGATTGATTATTTGACAGTTCGATATTTTGGTGCAAATAGCTTCATTCTTTCTTTTTTTCTCTTATGGTGCAGTTAATGTTTATTTATATCGACATCCTGGATGAAAACCTTGCAAAGCCCTTCTTGACCTTGTTTGGGCTTGAGGAATCAAAGAACACTTTGGTGAGCTTTTCTTTCTTTTGAATGATAATGCTTTAACTACTAATGAATCTATTTCTTAGGCACCTAAAGTTGATGCAATTTATTTCTGTTTGCCTGATAGGTGACTGCATTTGATAACAAAGGCACCTCGAAGTACTTGTTGCAGTCCGATCCAACCCAAAGAAACATTGAAGTAACAATTCAGCTCTATAGATTTCAGGTTTAAGGAACTATCTATTCTGAAAACTAATATGGTGTTCTGAATTGGACTTTACAGGAGTTTTGCTCGGGGCTTTTGGATGGTTCTATCTCAACATACTTCAAATCACAGCCAATACCAGATAATGTGAGGGTCAAAATTTATGTTCTCTCTTATTTCTCTTGCATAATGTTTGGTGGATATGATTTAGGCTCTGCTGCTTTGTCATTGCTGTCTTCTATTTGAAACTACATTTCTTTCTGAATCTGCATATTTGCTTCTGAGTTTCTTTTTCAAAAATTTGAATGCTGTCAAAAAAATTTCCATGCATTGAATGTTGTGGTTCTGTAATCCCAACATTTCTTGTGAAAGTTGAAGAAAAAATTGAAATGCAAGTGTCATCATCTGCATCATGTCGATGAAAGAAGTTCCTTTCGCTGCACATCTGAAAGATATCTTCCATCGAGCTCCTGAAATTTGAATTTAATATTTATTCTAATTTATCCTACTTCTAATGAACTTTTGTATTATGAATTTTGCAGAATAATGCGAGTGTACTAGCTGTCGTGGGAAAGACATTTGATGACTTGGTGTTGAACAGTTCCAAGAATGTTCTTTTAGAGGTATCAATCTTTTGGACCTTCCATGCATTTTTAGTATATGCCAATGAGATGTGCAAACTAATTAATCCATTAGAGCTGCATCTGAAAAATGAAAGTACAGAATGACTAGATTCACTGCACACGTGGCATCACTGTCCCTTGCTCTTATAAATTTAGATACACGATTAGATTGATGGTAGTAATTTGCAGCATTTGAACTATATCACCTGCTATATATTAATTTAAATCAAGAGTCAAGAAATTTTCTGCGTAATATACCCTTTAAAAGGTCTTATTTCATTGTTGCCAAACAGGTATATACACCGTGGTGCATCAATTGTGAGACCACAAGCAAGCAGGTTGAGAAATTGGCTAAGCATTTTAAAGGTTTGGACAATCTGGTTTTTGCGAAGATTGATGCTTCTGCTAATGAACATCCCAAACTTCAGGTATGCTTTTTTTAAGCAATCGGTCAGGTGTAGGATACACCTTAATATTGAATACCCTTTTGATTTCCTCCAAAAGATAGCTTGATTGTCAGATGAGGGTCAGTTACCATGTTCGACATTCATTTCCTGCGGTGGGACTGGAACTCCTAAACCTTCATGATTCTTAGTTTGAGTGTCAGTAGAAAACCAAGAAAGCGCATTATTCACATATGGAATCCTTCTATCTTTTCCGTTACATTCAGCATGGATTACACATTGATGACTGCAAGTTCGGTTCATACTCGACATTGTTTATCGTTCCAGGTCGATGACTACCCGTCACTCTTTTTGTACAAGGCCGGTGACAAAGACAATCCGGTAATTGTTGTAACAATTCAGTCCATTTTTATTCATCTCATATTTATTAAGCACCATCTGACATAATGATCCTTTTTTTTTTTTGGATTTGCAGATCAAACTTTCAACAAAATCTGGTTCAAAAGAACTAGCAGCCTTCATTAACAAACAAGTGAGACCCAAAGATCAAGCGGCCAAGGATGAATTATAGGGAATATATAGCGAAGAAAACCTAAATACTTTTATGGCAGCCCTCAAGGCCTCCCAAAATTAAAGGGAAAAAGGAGCACTAAGTGAGGGTGTTGGAAAGTTGGATTGTATTAATTTGACTAATTGATGCGTATGGAACTTATTGTTAAGGCAACAAGTCAACAAAGAACAACAACAACAAACCATCTGTCGTTTCTTTTCATAATTTAGAGAAATTTGTCATTCGATAGTCTTACCCATGGACCTCTTCATTTAGATGAAGAGAACATATATGTCAAAACAGTTCTGCAGAGTCTTCAATAGCCAATATAATTAATGCTATCCCTTTTCTCTCCTTCGAATGGTCATCATGATTCCATTTGTTGGAAAGACTCAAGAAACAGGGATTTCTCCTTAAAATCTGGCCTATAACTGTTAACAAAAATTCTCCTTGCTTATCAACTGTTAGATGGATATAGTTGTGGAAAATCATGCATCAAATTCCTCCTACTCGTTCCTTTCTTGCAGAATGTGGAAATTGCACAAGTGCAAAACCCAACCTGGAATTAACATTCGCATTCAAGAGAATGTCACTAGGTTAAAATTTCTCGGAACCAAGCTGGAATCCCATTTTAGATTATGAACATCAAGGTTTAAGGTTTAGGGTTAGAGTTAATGATAATTTAATGAGGGTTTTGAGATTATGAGACACCAGACAAGCTTAAAAGTTTCTTTTTTCTTCAATATGATGATATCCCAAAACACAATACATAATTCATTCAGTATCCTACACTCCAAGTAGCCTACTCGAACATCATTAGAAAATATAAGGCTTAATATAAAGTAGGTGCTTAAATCATACCATTTTTCGTATTTAAGTATCTAAATGTTAGAAACATTATCATTTTAAGTCGATGCTGAAAGATTCCCTTAAGTAACATGTATCGCGTTCTTAAAAAAAATTATTTAAAATGAAAAACATAAAAATATAATTTCCTTAAAAAAAATCAAAATTTTCAGAAATTCTAAAAGAAATCCAAAACTTTGAAAATATTTATTTCGATCCCTATATCTAAGCCGACCACTGCTATCTGCTGTAGTTGCTGTTGACCGAATCCCCACCAAAAACATAGTCACCGTCACTACCCTACCGTCATCAAATGTTAATGTTGGGTGGAGCCGTGGAGGGGTATAGTGGGAGGGAGCGAGAGGGAGGGGGCGGGAAAGGGAAAGGGGGAGGGGACACAAAATGAACTAATAACTATGACTATTCTGGAAAGTGCCCACCTAAACAAATTTTCCAGGATCATTCAAACCTACAATCCTAATTGCATTTTTTAAAATAAAAAAGTAGAACTAGTGATTATACGAACTGCTCTATTCTATTACTACATAAATTTCCATGAGTTTGGCTAAAACAAACAGCATCAAGATCCATTAAACCGTTCAAAAAGAAAGAAAAAAGCTATAATGATAAGAAATACATTAAGCTTGCAGGAGAATTTTACACCAGGCCCTCAACCAGAATTGGTTTTTCCTTTTCCCTCTCGTCATCATCCTGCTTTTCACCCTTCTTTTTCTTTTCATCTTTAATCTCCAAACCCTTGAGGTCATCATCTAAACAACCCTTCCCAGCCATGGCTTCTCCGTCATCACCACCCACAATCACCAAGTCCTTACCCTCCCCTACTTCTTCACCGCATCCCTTCTCCTTCACGCAGCCGTCCACCGCATCCGAAGTTGGAACCAGTGACCCTCCGCCAACCAACACCACATCAGGCATGTCTGGACATGGCGGCGAAATAAGAATATCGGAGGAGCAGTTACCCTTGTCGGTGAGCGGGTTGTCTACGCATCCGTGCTCAACTTCATCTTCATCATCAGAATGGAAGAAGGTGGCCGCACGTGACTTGACGACGGAAGCAGCTTTGAGGAAAGCCTCCTGTATGGAATCTGGCGGAAGAGCACACTCCTCGAAACCTTATCCTTCTTCTCAAAGAAAAGAAAAGCTTCTTCTGATCGAAAGATTCAGCGATACAGGAACCTTGGATTCAATAATAGAGATAACTGAGCAGGTTCCAGAAATGGAGCTTCGCCTGAGGCTGGCTATTATAAATAGCTATATGGTTATCGTTATCCACAAAATCTTTCGTTTGTCCGCCTACGCTCTCCCACACCACCAAGACCCAAAGGGAAAAGAAGATGCGGTTCAAAACCCAAAGCTCACCGAAAACTGTGAACTGCTTGTAGCATGTGTCATAAGTAGAGATTTACAATTTGACACCTGCTATCACAATGAATTACAACGTATGGGAACACCCATCATATGCTTGCAATTTTTTGGTTGAAAGAATAATTATATTTCCACCTCAACAGCAATATATTGGATCGTCCAAAGAAATTCCCAAAGTCATTCTGGGAATCAGAGCATGCATCGATACGGTTCGTATAAACAGAGCAATAACTGATCGATCGAGTTATTATATACACCATTTTGAATTAGTACACTGAGATCTTACGGCTTCAGCTATCTGCCTATGCATGGTAGATAGAGCCCAAAGAGGTCGCTAACTACTAAACTTGTGCAAAAGACGCTTACTAAGAAGACATTGTAGCAGACTCTTGAAGCATCCATCATACACAGTTCATACTTTTCTTTTCTAGACCTCTCACTGTAAACAAGATACAATTCCGACGCTTGAATCAACTGAACTGACGCAATATTTGTATAGAAATACAGCCAGATAACACTGTCCGAAATCCCATGTTTAAAAATATTCAACTATCTTTAAACAATATTAGGGCATCTTAACCAAAACAAGAACATACATTAACTTCATCCAACAAAATGTATCAAGTAATCAAAGCGTCAAACAACAATCGGCTCGTTCATCCTTGTTCAAAATTTAAAGAAACTCCTTAAATATAAACTAAAAACAACTAAAGTGTTCAACAGTAATAACACTCCTCAAGTAAAGTTCCCATAAAAATTTTCCTAACAAAGACGGCTTCATTCAAAACAACCTTGTGATACCTTAAGCAGAAGCCGCTGCAACCTTCTTCCTTGGCGCTGCTTCGGTACCTATGCCATTATACAACACAAAATTGAGAATACTGACAAAAAGAGAATACCCCATATAGAACAGAATATGTTCACAGTTCAAAGATACATAAAATCTACATAGAAACAATCATAAGAAATTAAAAGCTAGCTACCTTCTCTGAAGCCACTCTTGAACCTCCGAGGAACATTGCGAAGATACCTCATCCTACCAGTTCCGGTGGTCTTTCTTCTGATTGCCTTCACACTCCAATTATCTGAATCCGAAAACAAAATAATCTCAGTTAGATTTACGGATTAACACCAAATTACAATCCACTGACACTGCTCAAACAAATTTGTATGAACATATTCCCAAATCATCGTTCAAATCACTATGAATCTTCCCTACTAGTATAAGCACATTTCATGCAACATTAAAACTAACAAATAAAAAACACAACAATGGGCTTATTCTTTACATGTTCGGTTGCATGGGCTTTGTGGTACAAATTTTATAATTTTTGGAGATTTAGTTCTGTGTTTCCTGCTGATGCAAAAACCTTTCTTACTGCTTGGGATGAGTTGAAATCAAATTCTTCTATTTGGACTTTCATTCCTGGGGCTATTATTTGGACCATTTGGAAGGCCAGAAATTTTATTGTCTTTGAAGGGGGAAAGCTTGATCAGTTAGAGTTATTTTTCTTATCACGAGTTAGGCTGGTTTCTTGGTTTCTAGCTAAGCACAAGGACGTTTCTATTCATAAGGATTCCTTGATTATGGACCCTTCATTAGCAGATTCCTACTCACCCTACAGTTCTATGAAGTCTTCTTCATTCCCTTGGGAACCTCCCCCTTCTGGTTTTTTTAAATTGAATGTGGACGCAGCCGTTAGTAGTGACTGGAAGAAATCGGGTATAGGAGGTATTTGGAGGGATCATTCAGGTTTAGTCCTAGGTTCTTTTCAAGAGTCAGCTGGTCCAGGACCTCCGACTATGATCGAACTTAAAGCTATTCAGAGGGGTATTTCATTATATGCTTCTGCTCAAGGAAGGGTTAAAGATAGGCTGATTGTTGAGAGTGATAGCAGGGTTGCAGTAGACTGGATCAACAAATATCAATTCATGCCCAGTTGTTTATGCATTCGTTGTTAGTGATATAGTTGACAGTCTTAGATTTTTGGAGGGGTTATAAATTGGGTTACAAGGTCAGCTAATATGGACGCCAATGCTTTAGCAAAGGCTGTAATAGGCTAATTTTTATGTTGTTTGTTGTTTCATTTTAGCATTTGATTCCTGTTCGGGTGGGATTTATAGACTGTTGTAAGGGTTATTTCGAAGAGATCTATCGAGGTTGTAATCTTATTTTCTTTAATGAAAATCTAAGGCGCTCTTTTCCTCCTTCCAATGATTAAGGAGCTTCTTTTCAAGCTCTATTAATCAAAAAGGAGGTCTTTAATGAGGCCTTCTAATCTTATCAAAAAAAAGTATACAGCACATATTCATATTTTTATGAAGAAACAATTCCTGATCACACCCATTTTCCACTATATTGAGTAAATTGAATTCTAATTAGAAATTTAGAATAAACACGTTCAAGAGTAAAATAAGCCTATAAACCATAAATACATATTCTTATCAAATATGATAACTCTAATTTAAGAAAACTTAAGGAAACAAACCCAAACAATCAATTGAAGAAACGCAGTTGCAGAAGGAGACTCGATAACAAAAGTAAACAACAAAAAACTAAAACTAAAGTTCTAGACATCAAAGAAAAAGTGGGTGGAGAACTTACATTTCCTCTTACGAGCAGCAGGGAAAGCGCAGGCACCGCAACGGCTCTTCTGGAGATGGAAGCTACGGCGGCCACATCTAACGCAGAGGGTGTGGGTCTTGTTCCTTCTTTTACCAAAACTCCCTGTTCCCTTTCCCTGCACATTGATATTTTATTTCGTTATCAAATTTCCCAACAGATCAAGTGCTGTACCAAGGAAAGAAAAGAGTGTTTGATATCTATCTTACCATTGAAACTGACGCGGGACAAACCCTAAGCGGCTCTGAAGGAAGTGAGCGGCGGAGAAGATATGGTTTCTAACAAAACCAGTTGGAAGCTGAAGAGAAAGCACAAAACAAGGGTTTTTTGCTTAAGGTTGAGACGTGGCACACTTGGACTTGAATGGGCCTCTTGATCATACTTTTCGCCCTATATTAAAACCCAATAGTTAGCGTGGGTTGGTCATAATGAACATTGTTCAAATATAAAAAAATTATATTTTGAAGTAATTATGTAGTAATATTTATTTATTTGAAATCAATTAGAATATCAAAGGTCCTATAGATATATTTTTTTTAAACATAATAAATTTAATTCATGAGAATTTAAAATTTTTAATAAATCAAATATTACTAAATTTTGTCATATTTACATTTAATATTATTTTTGTTCATCGTTTATTATGCACATAATTTTATGAAATTGATTTGACGATATGTCAAGTTATATAAAATGAAAGAAATAACAAAATTACCCCTAAAATGATCGAATGTTTGTTTTAATGGAATAATACGATAAAATCACCTCCAAAATGATTAATAAATTTGTTTTGGAAGTTAATTTCTTGTTGCGGTTTGTACGTCGATTCAATCAGAATTATTTGATCTTTATTTTATTTTATTTTTTATGTGTTTTTAATATTTTTTTTGTATGGTCCTTATTTGATCTTTAAGTAACTAGTTTTGTGTCAATGATTATAGGAAATATCAAATTATGCGTTTAGTTTACACTTGTGGTTGTAAATTCTCATTGTAGTTTAATTTTTTTTTTAATAAAACTAGTTGTTTTTATTTGTATAAAAAAATAATATGATAAAAGGTAAAAGAAAATATAAGCGTTGTTATTTGTCGACTTTTTTAATTGAACGTTTTGAATTAGACAATTTTAAAATTCAAAAAAGAACAAATTTAATTATATAGGGAATATTAATTATATATATATTTAAAAATATATTTAATAATTACTATAAAGTGAGTGATAATAATTTTATATATCATATATATGAGATATAGATAACGACAGAACCACATTTATAAAAGGTTATCAATTGATCAAAAACAATATTTATAAATAATATATAAAAATATTAAATTTGTCATCCATAAATTATCCTCTTCCATCTAAAAAAGTTATTTATCAAATTTTAGAAATTTTCAAATCGTGATTTAAATTTTCAGCTTTGTCGCTTAACAATTATGAACTTTATATAAATATATTTTAATTATTTTATTTAAAAGCTATATTAAAATATAAAAAAAGTTAAAAAAAATATTATACTGATATTAATTATTATTTACATAAAATAATATTTCAAATGATTATCCAACTAAATTGACAATCGTTAATTACACTAACCTAATCACAATTTTAATAATATATTAATATTATAGATAGACATTGATAAATTACACTAAAAATATGGTATTCGTATTCGATACATTGTCGTATTCTGACTACCGGATGTCTTCCACGGAAGCTGCTCTCAACCTGGCGTTGGGGTCAGCCTACTATCCTACCTCCCCTTACCCCATTGCATATGGGAATCAGGGTTTTGTTGTTGTTGTTGTTGTGTCTTTATTTTCTTAACTTGAAATTTGAAAGGGATATTATGAATATTGTTGAGGGAAGTTCTTACTCTTTATACAGAAGATTACAAGTGTTGTTTATTCGGTAATGGATCAAATTTTAGTAATCAATATTATTTTTCTGATATAATTATATTTTATTTTAAATTAAAAATTTTACGAATTCATTATGAGATTCTAATGGTAAAAAAGAATGTCATTCTTTTTAAAAATCATAAATTTAGATAATTTCGTCTGCAACAACAACAATTTATAATTTCATATATTAAAAATATGGTATGCGTCAGATTATTTAAAATTACATTTACAAAAATATGGTATCGGTTCCAATCTTGTCATGTCAAACCTTAGGTAAAACAAAGGCTCAAGCTCCCCCTTTTAGGTTGGTGGAAGGACTTCATTTTGGCAATGGCAACTGTGTAGCATCGACATGCATCTTATCTTCGCGTTAGTATTAGCAACTGAGTTTCCACAACAGTTTGGGACCATTTTAGACTTACATTATTCAGATTTGTGCAAGTGTTGAAGAGTCAGATCAACAGACTTTTATTTAAACAAAGAAAGCTTGTAAATGATGAAATGGTAAATCATGACCACACCAGAAACTCTTAAATTAAAGAGATGCAGCGTCAAATACGATGTTGATATCAGGCTGATTGTTGTGAAATTCAACAAAAAAGATATTAATGAAAAAGGAAGAAAGAATCCATTTATGGGTCCTTTAGTTTGGACATCATTTGCTAGCTTAAAGGTCGTAGCAGTTGGCAACTGGCAAGCAATGCTGGTCATGGAATCCATACAAAAGGCCAAGAACTTGTTCCACAAATCAGTTTACAGCCTTATATCCTTCCTCTCTGTAGGATACCGGAAGCTATCCAAACCAACCCTCCCAGACCCCTTCTCTTGCAGTGGTTGCAGCAGGAAGAAAGGCCAAAAAGATCGATCCTTTGCCAACTTCAGCTACAACTGGGAATTTGGTATTGAGGAATCAGAGATGAGGACTAACGATGCCATCATTGCTATGTCGTTGAAAGAACAAATGAGGGACGAAGATGAATGAAACGGAAGCTTGATGAGCTTTTCCGATACAAATCCGGTGAAGAAGATAAAGGAAACTGGAGGAAAAGAAGGAAAAAAGAAAGTGAGAAGCTCAAAACTGAGTAAAGGGAAGGAACAGTACTATTACAAGAGGAATAGAGATGGGAGTTATGCATTGGCCCAAAAGATTAAAGAACTAGAGATGATGGATGTTGATGATATGGAACATGTATTGGATGTTGAAGAAGCACTCTACTATTATTCTCTACTTAAAAGTCCGGTCTACCTTTCCATTGTAGACAGATTCTTCATGGATATGTACTCTGAATTCTCTCATCCACAGGCCTCTGCCAGCACCAACAGTAAGAAGCGAAGACTCGGGACGATTCAGTTATAGATCCTTGACTCCCACATGCATTTTCTTGTTCAGATAACCCGTTTTCTCCTCCGAATTTTTTTTCTTCTGTTTCGTGTGTGTTCACATGTCTGAATTCTTCTGCTGCTTTTTTATTGTTATAATTTGCTTGAGCACCCGTTGTTACCAGTAAAAGCATAGAAGCTTCATATCAAGATTTAGGAAATGTATATTTGCATGTAATTCGTATAATATTATCAAATATTGGTTTGAATGACCTTTTTTGAATAACAGAGATCGATTTTTTGAGCCACTAGTATCAATCTGCGCCTTCTTGCATCATGAGATTTTTTTTTTGTTGGTGTTTTGGATGAATGTGAAGAACACAGTGACTGAGGCCATTAACTCCAGTAAATAGAAAAACTGTTCAACTTATAGTTTATGAATGTCAATCACCTGTAGTTTCCTGTAAGCTAATGTATACCATTACAATATTACAATGCTGTAGAACTTGAAGGCGGTATATTGAAAAGAAACAAGGGAAGGGTGTTGCATGTTAATCAGTGAATCATCCAGCAAACTGCTGCATCCTTCCTTAAGAAACATTAGCAATGTGTTTTGGGAGAAGTCGAATTACTAGTTTGACATACTTATTATCTTCATCCTTGTAAATCAATACCCAGAAGGCCAGAAAAGATACTATAACGGTATGCTCTTTTAAGCACTTGAAATGAGATAATCGTGATTGCAACTGAAAGTTGCCATCGACCTCCTGCGAAAGAATAACATCCAAACTAGATTAGGAATGGCAACGGGTCAGGTACGGGACGGGTTTTGCTCACCCCGTCCCCAAACCCGAAATGAATCTCCATCCTTGACCCCGACGGGTTTTTTATCTGGGTGCCCCGTCGGGGATTTTTTTTGCCCCGTCCCCGAATTCAACCCGAAATATTATACCCAATCCCGAACCTGAACCCGAAAATATTTTATATATAATTAATATAAAGTATATAAAATATTATATATATAATTCAACCCGAACCCGAACCCGAACGCGACCCAAACCCGAACGCAACCCGAAAAAAATCCTCAAACCCGAACTCAACCCGATATCATTCAACCCGACCCAATCCGAACTTGACCCGATTTCGAATTTCCCCATTGGGTTTGGCTCATACTGCCATCCCTAAACTAGATATATAATTATACAGCTGGTTCCCAAGTGGGCCAGGTCGGTCTGTTTCAACCAGTAGGCCCATCTCCAGTAAATGTTACAATGTATGTTGAATAAACCCCCAATTTCCAAAAGATTTACAACCCTATAACATGTATGTCTCGGACGCATGGAATACCCAACCCATTTATGCTTCAGTAAAATGGCATATAAAAAATATTAAAAAAAAACAGAAAAAAGAAGTAAAATAGCCGCCTTTCTCACAGCATTCCTTTTCCATGATTAATATTGTATATATACTACACTTGCAGGCCTAAATGTGCATACTACGAATACAAGCAAACAAGAACAATGAAACAATCAACTAAAAGGAAAATTTTGATTTGCAGCTACATCCAATTTAAAAACGAATGAATTGCCAATCTCACCAGTCACCACCATTGATGGACAAGAACACCGCTATCTCGGAGTGAAGTAAAGAGTTGCAAGCATTGGCCGTAATTTTTCTTGTATTTGGGACTCCTCTGACCGGGACAACACCTTTGCCACCTATTATAATGGCATTCGAGGAAGATCTCGTCAATCAAACAGATTGCACCTGTTTCGAATAGCCGAGGAATCAAGTCGAATTCAGTTCCTTAAACATCCATCTTCATCACCACGAAATCGATTTCTGTCACGGTGTTCTTCAACCATTCTGCGAAATCAAACCCTTGAATCTCATCAACCTTGCCTCCGCTCGATTTAACCGGTTGTATTCTGCCCATCCCTCTGCCTTTATCCTTAAGGTCACTCACTTCTTCCTGTCCAGGATCGAGATTGATCTCAAACCGCAGCGTCTCATTCCTCACCCATGCAGCATAAGGCAACAATGTAACCGCCTTCTTCTTCAAATATTGTTGATGGAAATGCTTGTCAGCCTCGATAGCATAGACATGAAAGGTTTTGTTCTGTTTGGGGTATTGTTTCCGGAACCAGCTTCCAATACTAGAACCATAACTCCTAGCACCAACATCAATATACACATATCTATTCTTGAAACTGATATCAGCCATTGATGGCAAATACTTCACATTCTTTATATTCCTTTTCAAGGTAATCCACGGCTTTAAGGGCTCCTCCTCAATAAGCAGCTCTGTCTGCTCGACTAATTCTCGTTTATACCCCGGAACCAAGCATTTATTACCAGAAATACCATGGGGAACCTTTTTCCTCTCATGGTTAAGAAATCCATTCTCTTTTCTCAATACAATTTCTCTAACAAAAAGCATTGATGAATCGAAACCATCCATATCAAGCATTTTAACTAATTTGCAAGAACTGAACAAATCAAGCAAAGAATGCGTACTATATGTATCATTGGCCTTGACGTGGACTACTGCAAACCCTTCGGGTTTCAGTGTCCGAGTAATTTCCGCTGCGAAATCCAACGGACGAGCCGATGCATCGAGGCGGCCACCACCGGTGAATATGAAGTCAAAAGTATTATCATCGAACGGCATCTTATGCCCCTCACCTTTAATCACCAAAGGCTTGCTCGCTTTCTTGAAAATACCGATGGAATCTACCACGCCTTTCTCTTTCAAGGCGAAAACTTCTTGTCCTAAAGGAGTCTCTATGCAGAGAGACTTGGAGTGAGGCAAGAGGTAACCCTTGGTGATCAGATCTTGGAAAACCGAAGAGTAGAAATGGACGGCACTGATCCACTCCTTGCTGGTGTAGAGTTCCCGGCGAGGATCAGGGCGTGAAACGGCGTCATTTCCGACGATGGCAGAGACTCCAGAATCAGGGATAACGAGGTTGAGACTCTGCCGCATGGAGAAGAAGCAGAAGTCACCGCGATTGCAAGACTCGCCAGTAATTGTGACCACGTAAGCGAATCGAAAGACCAAGATGAAAACACCGAAAAGAAGAGCACGAACCAGAATATTTCGGAAAAGGCTCGGCTTTCCTGTAACAAGTTCCATGATAACAATAACTATATAAAGGAGGGAAATAAAAGCTTCTCTTTTTGCTGTTTAAGTTGTATCTGTTGCAGTGTGGGCTTTTGTCAACAAAAAAATGGAAAGAAAAAAAAATGTTGAAAATGGAGAGAGTAACGGGAGCAGAAGCGAGCAGAGGCATGGTTGGCGCCAACGAGAGATCTGGAAAGGAAAGGAGAAGAAAGAATCGGGAAATATAGATGGGAAGGAAATGCAAAAAGGGAATGCATGCTTGTTTTTGTAGCTGTTACGGAGTGAGAGAAAGGGAGAGGGAGGCCATAACTATGTGCTTGCAGTTGCGGTGGCGTGGACGGCATTCCTTTTCCAAGCATGAACGAAAGGTTAAAGACTTAAAACTATATAATTAGATTGTCAGTTTATTCTTACTAAATATATCAATTCTATATGAAAAAAAGAACATTGCTATTTTCGTATTGCGCAAATTTTCCCGCGCACTATCAGGGACCAAACGTACACCAAAATTGGAAAAAAATAAAAACCACAAACAAAGAATCTGCGAGAACCTGAAGAGGAGGAAGACAGTTGTTAGAAGAATGAAGATGCTGAAAACCAGAAGACTGGAGCCATCTTCCATCGACATCGTTTAGTATAAATTATCAGAATATTGTCTCTGATGGTGCACCTGTAACTCCGCCGCGGCGTCTCCCTATTCCGTTCATCTCCCAAGTCCTAACTCTCTTCCCCATTCTAAATTATTTATATCGCTATAGAAACTTCGACGCTTCGATCCAAAGCTTCCCTTTCCCCGTCCATTCTTAAATAGAAATGATCAAATAAGAAAATCAACGCACTTTATCCGAATAATACAAATCCGATCTTAAGAGTTTAAAAAAATTGAATAAACTATTAAACGTCTCTCTTTTAATTTTTAAAATTATTCATTTTAAAATATTTTATTATAAAAATCAACAAATAATACTTTTATTTCCTTTTTATCTTCGTATATTTCACTTTTTTACGTCTATTAAAATAAATCTACAAAATATATCGATCATTTTTAAAGATATATTTATCATTCTCCTTGATCAAATATATTTTCTAAAATTATTTGCATAGAATACACAAATTATAAAACGAAGGAAATATTAGTTTACGAAATCGTGACCTTTATTTGTGATATAAAATTATATTAAATATACATTAAGAATAATTTAAACTTGCACCCTTTGAATATAGTGTTTTTGGTAAATTACATGTTTAGTACTTAAAGTATTACTTTTATTTCATTTTGGTACTTAAATTTTATTATTTTTCAAAATTATACTTAACGTTTAATTTAGGTTTCATTTTAATACCCTGTCATTAAAAACTTAACGTGACATTTTTAGGGTAAATTACATCATTCATTAATCAACTATCTTATTACTCTTATTTTTGTCACTAAAGTTTAATTTTTTTAATTTAATTACTCAACTTTCAAATTGTTCTTGTTTTAATCACTTTAATTTATTTTATTAATATTTTTATGGGGCTATGATCCAATTACACCTAATGTAATTTGATAGTTAGATGAGGGAAAATCAAATGTTGAAATTAACTCATTTTTTTCAGTGAATATATTCTCATTTCATACTGTTAATCTCACATTTAATTTCCCACATCCAAGTATCTTAAAAGGGTTTAAAACTAAAAAGTCTTATACTATGTAATTGAATCTTAAATAAAAAATAAATTTAAAATTGTACCCAAATCTAAAAAGTATACCACAAACCTTAAATCACAAACCCCTCATATATTAATAAAATAAATTATAGTGAGTAAAATATGAGTAATTTGAAAGTTAAATAAATAAATTAAAAATTAAACTTTGGTTACCAAAATAAAAGTGAAAAAATAATTAAGTGATGAATGATGTAATGTACCAATAAAAAATATCATATACATTATTTTCTTTAATTTTTAAATTGTATATATGATTTTATAATAAAATAAATTTTAGGTTTCCAGACCTAAGTATTGCTGTAAATAAGAATCGGTTATTCTGAACGCGGAGCCAGAGCCAGAGCCAGAGGAGAAGCTTCTATAAAATTCTTCACACCGTCTAAAACTGAAGTCACACTTATGAATCCTCATCGAAACTTCTCGAATTAACCAAACACCAACAGTCCATCCTCTCTTTAATTTCTCATCAAGTTCCGATCCTCCAATCAACTTACGGAGCTCTCCGCTACTTCCATTGAAGCATATCCACAAGCATTTGGCAGCCATGGCAGAAGACGGAACCGTAACACTCTACAACAACACGGCCATCACTGACGCCAAGAAAAACCCATTCTCTATCAAATCAGGGATTGCTCAAATGCTCCGTGGCGGCGCCATTGTCGAAGTATCGACCCTCAACCAAGCCAAACTTGCCCAGGAAGCCGGCGCCTGTTGTGTAGTCATCACCGAACCTAATCGCCGAGGCATTTCGCACATGCCCGATCCTTCTTTCATCAAACAAATAAAACGTGCCGTCTCAATCCCCGTCATGGCTCGTTCCCGCGTCGGCCACTTCGTCGAAGCCCAGATTCTCGAACGAGTAGGAGTCGATTACATTGACGAGAGCGAGGTTTTAGCTATAGCCGATGAAGATAATTTCATTAACAAGCATAATTTTAGATCCCCTTTCATTTGCGGCTGCAGGAACCTTGGGGAAGCGTTAAGGAGAGTGAGGGAAGGAGCTGCCATGATTCGAACGCAGAGGGACTTGTTGGGGACTGGTAACATTGCTGAAACGGTTAAAAACGTCAGGTCTGTGATGGGTGAAATCAGGATTTTGAATAACATGGATGAAGATGAAGTTTTCGCATTTTCAAAGAAAATTGCTGCCCCTTATGATTTGGTTGCTCAAACCAAGCAAATGGGAAGACTGCCCGTTGTGCATTTTGCTGCTGGTGGAATTGTGACTCCGGCAGATGCTGCATTGATGATGCAGTTGGGTTGTGATGGTGTCTTCGTGGGATCAGAAGTGTTCAGCAACTGTTTGGATCCGTATAAGCGTCTTCGAGGAATCGTGGAAGCAGTTAGGCATTACAATGATCCTCATGTGTTGGTGGAGAATAGTTGTGGACTGGAGGAGGAAATGGCTGGCCTTAATGTCAGTGAGGAAAGGATGGAACCCTTTGGAGGAGGAGCCTGATCAAGTAATGTATCTTCTTGCATGTTGTTGAGCGTACGACTGTTTCTTTGTTTCCCTTGCCGCTGTTGTTCTTGTACTTTTGCTAAGATAGTGATTTAGATATGCTATATTTTGCATGTTGAACTGTTCATGTAATTACATTTCTCACTACTTAATTGTTGATGAGATTGATGCGATATTTATTTACTTTTCTCAAATTTGGAGGGTGATACATTTCTACCCATGTCCAAAGATGTCGGATATGGATACTTTAGAAAGAAAAAAGAATTAAAGAGTGAAAGCAAGATAGATTCCAATCGTATGACCATACAATGGATCATTGTCAATTAGTCTGTAGCCTTTGTTTGAGCTTCATTTATAGTTTTCCATCACCTACCTGGTCTATGCATCTCAATGGAAACAATAATAAAAATAAAAGAGAGTACTGCCTTACGTTCTGCCGTAATATCTCCAAAGAAGACCAGCCATTAGATATGTTAGACCATAACCGTTCCTTTTTATCAACTTCAGTTGAGAGTGGACTTACTCTAATATGCCCTCTGTTTTTTTCAGCCTTTAGCTCCTTGCTCATTTAACAGCATCTCTACTTCTGCTTCATCCACTGAATATTAATTGCTTTAATTAAGATGAACACTGAATATATATTGTTTAGGCCTTAGAGGGTGTTAAAACAAGCAAGTCGACAAGAATGTGAAGCTAAAGCAATATTTAATGTTTGATGAAATCGAAAAAGTTCCGTGGCAACAAAACATATGCATAAAACATCGAGGTCCCTGTCAGTGGGGTTTCTCAGTCGTTGCATCGGCCATTTTTTTAACAGTTTACCAGCAGATTTGACTCCTATAGAAAGGTATGTATGTGTTGGAGTTTGACTAGAATTTTATATGATTTAAATTATTTGAGAAAAAATAAATCTAATTTAATTGAAAGTAGGAAGTATCTTCTATTTTATGAAACATATTTTGAGTACAATTCTTACTATGAAGTTTACTTTGTAATCAAATAATTATATCTATAAATAGATAATAGAGATTAGATATCAAGTATTTTATTGGGATTCCTCTTATATTCTCTTATTAAGATTGACAGCTAGGAATCCATCAATTGTTATTAACCACCCAGATTCCCCATTCATCTTCGATCAACCAACCTTACCCAATTTGTTTCTTTAAATCAAACCTTCAATTTCAATCTCTTTTTTGTTTTACCACAAGACAATTTTATTTGTTATCAGGGTAAAAATCATGGTAATGCATTCTCCCATTCACTGTTTTTATTTGTTTTCCCTGTTCTTTTATTTAACCTGAGTGAAAATCATGATTCACTGTTTTTATTCGTTTTTCCTGTTATGTATTTAGAGTGACAATTTTCTTAACGCCGCTCTAACAAGTGCGCATGTTTCTGCCATTAAAACAATCATTCCAATTGATAATCTTGTATCTGTTGCAGTCTCTGATGTCACTGATGCTACTGTCAGTAGCAAGGCTAGTAATGACGCTAGTGGCTGAGCCAGCAGCATCGATCACAACGCTGTTTTATTACAGTGAAGTTTTACCGCGAAACCTCAACTTAGAAAGATTGGTTCGACGGGACTTCGTGGATCCAGAAAACTACTTGTTCCATTTTCTCATTAACCTGTTGAGATGTTTTCGGTAGTAATTACCACTATTTGTGATCAATATTCATGGTTTACCTGTTCATGTATATTCTTAATATTTATCTGCATGGCCATGGGCGATAGTAACAACGATGCTTTTATGTTCATGCATGTTCATCTATATTTTCTATTTTTAACCTATATTCAAATATCTAAATTTAAGGTTTACATCTCATTAATAGTATGAATTCAAATGATAAATATTTTAGAATGTATATTTGTAAATTTCTTGAAAAAAACATTATAATTTTAATATTTAAATATGCATATTACCAAAATTTAAAAAGAGTATATCCCCAAATATCTAAATACGAACCATCCATGCTTCGAAACTCGTACAGTTAAGCCACCACTTACCCCCATTATGAACCAAAACACCCTTTTACATGGGTTATAAGCCATACGTATCTTAAAGCTTTTGACCAAATACGCAAGCCTTCTCGGGATTCGTTGGAACTGACCGGTCATAAAACTAGACACTTCCATATGTACCTCAATCGGGCTCTCAA